AAAAATTGGAACTTGGTGGAGTTTGAAAACGCGTGTCGTTCCCGCGGATGCCTGCGGATTGTTTTTTCGTCGTCAGGCAAATCGAGAAGATCATTTTGGTGTGATATGTGAATTCATCTGCACTAAAGCGTGTGATATGTCAGAAGCATGTACAATGTTGGACATAAGTATTGGCACAGCATGATTATGATGGTACAAATGCTTATAACTACTAAATACATTCATTTGAAGAAAAACTTTTGTTACATATTCATTTACTATCTATTTTAGCTTATTACATAACAGAAGCAATAATATATATGCATTGATTCACAAAAAAATAGCAAAAGTGAATTTATTGAACACTTTATGGGTGAAAAAAAGTATTGGCACACTCGAATAAAAATATTTAAAAATGACTTGGAATCAAATATTAATCCTTTAATCGTTTGGGCTGTTGGGATAGGTTGTTGTAGGAACACACTTCTTGTGGGGTGACAAATCTTTCTTTATTTTTCGTTGTTTTCGGTTAGAGCGCGCAAAATCAAGTGTAGTTATTCTTCGCTCGTCTCCATGTCGACCCCTCGGTCGCACTGGCAAAATTGTTAAACAACCCTAATTGGTTAACCCCACGCGTTGGGCCTTTCCAATCAGGGCCGTTTATTTTTCCCAAATCACCGCCTATTTCGTACGCCCACGGCGTGCTTGTTTTCGAAACGGCGTGGTGATTGAGGGGGACGACGTTGCGCCTCACTGCAAGATTTCCTTCGGACCACCCGCGCTGGGCCCACTTGGCGAAACTCCGATGGGTACGCGTCGAGTGTCCTCCAGAAATCCCTAATTTACGACGGTCTCTATTTGCTGTTGAGGGACTTAGGAAAAGAATTTACTAAACGCATTCGATACGCGAGTCTGGAAAATATCTTCCTCAAAAACAGCTTCGACGAACGAGAGTCGTAAATTACGTGGGCCGTTTGCACGAGAGAAAAACTTTCCCATGTGCGCACGACCGGTCGCTACATCACCCCCTTACCAGTGTGTTAGGGGGAGTAGGTTTGAAAAAACCTCGCCTAACGGTGGTCCGGATCTCGAGGGAAGGAACGTCGGGAAAAGAATACAAATTTTCAGTTTATTTTCGCTTAGTCGAAGATCTCGACTAAGCCTTTTATTGTGATGATTGTACTAAAATTTGTACGCAAAAACCGTGTCTGCCGGTCTAGACGGATTCCCGTCTGTCTAGCTTCGATGATCTGTAACAGAAAGAGACAAGAATAGGCGTTAAATACCTGACAACGTGACTCACGTCGGATGTCTTTCTCTTTCGCGCTCGCGCCTGGTTTGTGCTTGTCGCACCCAGGAGCGGGAATCTCAGTCGCCGCGATACGCGGCTATATTAGTGGACTGTATGTGTAAGAGCGTTCCCTTTAAATCGGGAATCGCTCGCTTATTGTTTCTTTAGACAAGATGCTAATTCCGCTATCTTTCAAGCCTGCTACTCTTGGTTGTCGTAGGAGGAGCGAACAGAGGGAGGTTGTAAGATTCCAACCGTCGCCCTTATCCTCGGCCCTTCACCGTCTGGTTATGTGCGTACGGGCACGGTGCGGTACCGGTTTGACAACGGCGCCCTTGGGCGACTTACAGTTGCTCCGGATACCACGTTCTTTTTAGAATCGACGTCCTACGCACTGCGGCCGTACCAGGCGAGCGATTTTGGGACGTGATCTGATAATTTTGCCGTAAGCTGGGAGATCCTAGGTGTCCCGCGCTTCGGCTAGAAGACGGCGAATCCACTCAAGGGTATTTTATTTCTACCCTTGGTCTGTGGGTTCGTAACCGTTCGAAAAACCAGTAATGATCGAGTTTATGACTCGATCCGTGGGGAGACGGTGGGTCCACCCAGGGGATTTTCAGTAAGCCCTGACCTGTGGAGCCGTCTAGCCCTTGGAAGCTCGAATAACTCGACGCTTTAATTTTATTATTACGTTTTGTCGCACTGAGCTAGATCGTGGATCTAGGAACTCGCGACAAAGCAGGCTAATTGTTTGGAGAAGCTTCTCAACGAAGGGTCGAATAACTCGACCGATTCGGAGATTTTTTAAAAACTTCTCGATAGCGTGCTCGCTTATCGATATGCTCCTTTCAGTGGCTCGATAGCAAGTGACGGACGAACATGAGCTGCCAAAAGTGTGCGCGTGAGAGGGGGAATCCTTCGTCGCGTGGCGCTGCGTGGCGTCTCTCGTCCGTCTTTGTTTAATTTCTAATTGTCGTACCTTCTCTATGCCTGGGCGTTGAACTTGGCTTGTTCGAACTCGAACGTTACTTTATCGTTCGCGTGACTTTACAGAAAACCTCGAGAACCGTGTTTTTCTGTCCTCTAATGTTTCGAATAGCGGACGCGTCGACCTAGAATCTTCCTGGTCGGTCGCGTAACCGAAAACAAACCGGGTAACGAATTATTTCGGATTTCAATTAACTATCGCATTTTAATCGATATTTAAACACAGTGCAAACGTTACCTTACTATTGTACTTTTAACTATTTACATTATTTAAACCTACTATATACAAAGTACAATCTAATTTGATCTATATACAATATACACATGTTTTTTATCCAACTTGCAAGCGGTCGGGGAACCTCACTCGTCTACCTGAACGAGTGCGTAAGGGTTCCTGCGTGCAAGCTGGCGGAGTGCTAGGTGTTTCTACAACTGCAGGTGTTTGCGAGGCGCGTACCTGCTCACTACCTGCACTCGGCTCTAATATGTAGGCGGGTTTGAGCCGGTCGATTGAGACTGACGCCTCTTTGCCTCTAACCCGCACTACAAAATACTTTTCGGTTCGGGATACGACTGGGAATGACCCGTCGTACGGATTCTGCACCGGAACCCGTACCGCGTCTGTCCGAATGAAGACGTGCGATGTGGTCGCTAAATCTTTGAATACGAAAGTCTTTTTCATTCCGTGACGTGTACCATTCACCGGTCGTATCCCTCGGAAATGCTCGCGGAGCTGCAGCACTAACGTCGCTGGATCCGTTTCGCGGATCGGCTCGTCGCGAAACATTTCTGCCGGGAGGCGAATATTCTCGCCGTATACTAACTCCGCGGTAGATGATCTAAGGTCGTCTCTATACCCGGCGCGAATACCTAGTAGAACGGCAGGTAACGCATCTGTCCACCATTCGTCGGCGCGACACTTTATCGCGGCCTTCAACTGTCGGTGGAACCGTTTCACTAAACCGTTCGCTGCGGGGTGGTAGGCAGTTGTTCGTAAATGAGTGCTCCCGAGCAGTACATTTAACTGCCTGAATAGGTGGGACTCGAACTGGCGGTCTCGGTCAGTGGTGACCCGTGCCGGTGTCCCAAATCGCGCGACCCACCCCGAAACGAAGGTTCGCGCGACAGTCTCGGCCTCGATATTCTCGAGCGGGAAGGCTTCAGGCCATCGCGTAAACCTATCGACGCAGGTAAGGCAGTATTTATTGCCCCTCGACACTGGTAGTGGCCCTACCAGGTCGAGGTGCACATGCTCAAACCTGCTCGACGGCGACGCGAAGGTTCCTACCTCACTCGAGACGTGTCGACCAACTTTTGCCCGTTGACACTTGAGACAATTGCGACACCACTCTCGGCAATCTCTCTCCATCGACGGCCAAACGAATCGATCCTTCAATAAACGCACTGTCGCCTTCGCACCTGGGTGCGACAGTCCGTGTACCAGGTCGAACACTTGGCGTCGGAAGAGTTGAGTCACGAACGGACGCACGCTTCCGGTTGAAACGTCGCAGTAAACGGGTGCATCGCTTATATTTATGCGGATACGTTTCAATTGCAATGAGGTGTCAGACGCCTCCAGAAAACTCCGAAGCTCAGTATCCCGCTCTTGCGCGTTCGCGAGTTCTGCGTAACTCAGCGGAGCGGTTACTGCCTCGATTCTTGAGAGTGCGTCTGCGACCTCATTGTCTTTGCCGCTCACGTGCTGTATGTCCGTCGTGAATTGCCCGATGAGATCGAGATATCGAAATTGTCTCGGCGTACACTTATCCGGTTTTTGCATGAACGCGAACACTATTGGCTTGTGGTCCGTGTAGATCGTAAATTCGCGACCCTCGATTGTGTGGCGAAAATGTTTAACCGCGGTATATGCGGCGAGTAATTCGCGATCGTACGCGCTATATTTTCGCTGCGCGGGCGACAAAGCTTTCGTGCAAAAGGCTAACGGTTGCCACGAACCGCTTTGTCGCTGCTGTAATGTCGCGCCTAATGCGAAATCCGACGCATCTACCATGATCGCGAGTCGCGAATTGTTCGACGGATGGGCCAATAATGTCGCGTTCACCAAGGCAGTCTTAAGACTTCCTAGTGCAGACTCCGCTTCGATCGTCCATTGGACGGGGGCATTGCCCTTCAACCTGCGTCCGCGCAGCAGTTGATTAAGCGGGGCCTGCAATACGGAGGCGCCGGGTATGAATCTACGATAGAAGTTTATCATACCCAAGAACCCGCGCAATTGTTTAATTGTCGCTGGCTTTGGGTATTCTTCTATAACTTTTACTTTTTCGGCTAATGGCCTTGTACCCTCGGCGGTGACCGTATAGCCTAGGAATTTTACCTGCGATTTCGCAAACACGCACTTGTTCGGGTTGACTATTATGCCGTACTCTTCGAGACGTGAGAAAAGCGCGCGCAGGTGATCTCGATGCTCCGTCTCACTATCCGACGCTACTAAAATATCGTCGAAATACGCGTAGCAGAAATCAAGTCCCCTAACGATGGTATCGATAAACCGTTGGAACGTCTGCGCGGCATTTCTCAATCCGAAGGGCATGACTAAATATTCGAATAACCCGAATGGCGTCGTTATCGCGGTTTTCGGGATGTCATCCGGATGGACCAGGATCTGATGGTATGCCCGAACCAGATCGATCGTCGAAAAGATTGTCTTTCCGGATAACATCCTCGAAAAATCTTCGATATGCGGAATCGGGTAACGGTCTGGGACTGTGCGGGCATTGAGTAATCAATAATCTCCACAGGGTCTCCATCCGTTATCCTTCTTAGCAACCATATGCAGGGCGGAAGCCCACTGGCTCTTAGAAGGACGGATGTGACCGAGATTCAATAGATCCTCAAATTCCGCTTTGGCTGTTTTAAACAGCTCCGGCGATAGCCGGCGCGGTTTGCAAAATACCGGAGGTCCTGGGGTCGTTTGTAGATGGTGAACTACGTCATGCTTTACCTGCCGTCCACCGTGGATCGTCGGGCACAGGAGGGCTGGGAATTCCGCCAATAATCCCTCGTAGGGAGAGTCCCCGACGATGGCCTTGACCGACGGTACGTCGACGGCGGCGACCCTTCCCGTCGTGGTCAGCGTTGTCGTCCTGTCGAGGAGCTGCTTCCCTTTGAGGTCGACCAGGAGGCTGAAGTGCGCCAGGAAGTCGGCGCCGATGATCGGCTTCGAAACGTCGGCGACGACGAACCTCCAAACGAAGGCGCGTCGGAGTCCCAGGTCGAGACTCGCTGGCTTCAACCCGTACGTCGGGATAATCGACCCGTTGGCAGCGAAGAGCTCGTACTTGGTCTTGGGGAGCGGACCCTTGATGAACGAGCGCGGATAAACGCACAGGTCCGACCCCGTATCGACCAAGTAATCTTCGTTTCGAGCCCGGTCGAGGACGAAAAGGCGGCAGGTACGTGGTCCATCACTGACTGCCGCGTTCAGTGCTGGGTGGTCGAGTTTCCCGACGTGTACGCACACGGCTGTCGGCACTTCGTCGACCTGTCCCCGAACGTCCGGTGATACCAGCAGTGGTCCATCTGCTGGGGGGATTGGCTTCTCCTCCGCGATTTTGATCTCCGGCGGTTCCTGGAGGCACTGCGTGGAGCTCGCGATCGGCCGAACTCGTTCATCCGGAGTTCCATCGCCTCCAGCCGTCGCACCAACTTCTCCATGACGCTGTCTTGCGTCGTAGCTCCATGGGCTGCTGCAACGGCGACTATCTGGGGCTGGTTCGTCCCCTCGTGGATTTGGTCGGCTATTTCCGCCAGTTTCCCTAGCGGCAGGTCGGCCTGTGCGCTGACGATGGCCCTCGTCATCGGCGGTAATCGGCTGGCCCACAGCGTCCGCAGGAAATCCTCCGATACAGTTTTACCTGCCAGCCCCTGCATGTGACGCAGGAACTGGGACGGTGTCCGGTCCCCCATGTCCTCTTTTTCCAGCAGCTGTCGTATTCGCTGTGTCTGCGACGAAGACAGCCGTTGGATCAATTCCCTTTTCAGGGTCTCATATTTCTCGGTCGCTGGCGGAAACTCTAGAACGTCCTTGACCTCCACCGCGTACTTGGGGTCAAGGTGGGACATGACATAATAAAATTTTGTAGAGTCCATCGTGATGCCACTCAACACAAACTGGCCCTCCACCTGGCAAAACCAGATTTCGGGCTGCTCCGGCCAAAACGGCGGCACTTTTATGCCGACGCGCTCTATTTCGGGCGTCGCGACGCTGCCCAGACTCGCGGCACTACCCCGAACCGCGGCACTTGGTCCATTTCCGGCCGACTGCATTGTCTTTCGCAGGTTAAAAGTCAAAAATAAAATACACAAAAACTAGTAAAAAATAAAAAAACGATTGTCACTTCCTACTCTAGATCACGTCGTAGGTCACCAATGTTGGGATAGGTTGTTGTAGAAACTACACTTCTTGTGGGGTGACAAATCTTTCTTTATTTTTCGATGTTTTCGGTTAGAGCGCGCAAAACCAAGTGTCGTTCTTCTTCGCTCGTCTCCATGTCGACCCCTCGGTCGCACTGGCAAAATTGTTAAACAACCCTGATTGGTTAACCCCACGCGTTGGGCCTTTCCAATCAGGGCCGTTTATTTTTCCCAAATCACCGCCTATTTCTTACGCCCACGGCGTGCTTGTTTTCGAAACGGCGTGGTGATTGAGGGGGACGACGTTGCGTCCTCACTGCAAGATTTCCTTCGGACCACCCGCGCTGGGCCCACTTGGCGAAACTCCGATGGGTACGCGTCGAGTGTCCTCTGGAAATCCCTAATTTACGACGGTCTCTATTTGCTGTTGAGGGACTTAGGAAAAGAATTTACTAAACGCATTCGATACGCGAGTCTGGAAAATATCTTCCTCAAAAACAGCTTCGACGAACGAGAGTCGTAAATTACGTGGGCCGTTTGCACGAGAGAAAAACTTTCCCATGTGCGCACGACCGGTCGCTACAGGGCTTTGAATCAAGTAACTTTTTTGTAACATCCGGCTCGATTTTGTTCCATTCTTCTAAAAGAACATTTTTCGAGTCTGCATTGTTTATCATACGATGTTTTCTAATCCTTCTTTCTAATTCGTTCCAGACATGTTCGATAGGATTCATGTCTAAACTCTGGGATGGTGTATTTGGGGAATGAGAAATATCATAAATGAATATTTCGCGATCTTGTTGCAAATAGAAATTCCGCGGAAGGTTTAATATTTCCGCACTTATAAATAAATTTTGTTTTAATATATTTAAATATGTGTAGTTGTCCGTAATATTATCTATACAAATTAATTTGCCAACTCGTAACGCTGCCATAGAACCCCAAACCAAAACTCTACTATCTCCATGTTTTACATTCGTTTGTAAATTTCGTAGATCCATTTCAGTATTTGGCTTTCTCCAAACTAATATTCTACCATGCGAATAAATTATATTGAATTTGCTTTCATCTAAAAACAGTACCTTTCTCCAAAATGTAAAATTCTTCCTTATAAATTCTTTTTCAAATTCAACCCTCACCTTTCGATTTTTTTCCCGATATATATCGTTTTCTTCGTGCAACACACGCAGAATATGCGGCAGTTTTTTATACTAGGTTTTCAAACTTCCTTCTTTGGCACTCTTTATTTAATATCATTCCGAATTCTGAAGAGTTTAATGTAGAATTTTTCTTCACTTCATGTACAATTTTACGTTTTTTTCTAACAGATAACTTGGGAGGACGACCATTTCGATTCGCACTATCAAAATCTGATTGAGTTATAAATCGTTTTACGATGTTTCTAATAATAAAACGACTTCTATTAACCATTTGTGATATTTCATTATAAGATTTTTACTTTTTATATAAATTTAGTATTATTTCTCTCTCTTTGTTTGTCGTTTCTTTCATTTTCCATGACATTATTATTTTGTTTTACTTTCACTGTTGCTAGACGACTAAACTTTAGGATGATCGTTGTTAAAAATGACAATCGGGGAGTCCCCTACCACCATTTTAAAACGACAATTGGAAATTCTGGCACGTAGCGAAAAATGTTTCATAGGGAACTGAAATGGTATCGTCCTGATAGGAGCCCCCTCCCGCCAGGCGGCGTAGGGTCGGACCGGATGGGGTGGCAGTGCCTCCTGTCCGGGTCCGGCGCACGGAGCGGCACCCTCGGTGGCCTGGTGCGGCCATTAGCTGCCGGCCTCCGAGGGGTAGAAACGGGGTCGCGGCGGTTGCGAGTTGGGGGCTCGCAGCCGCCACTAGACGCGGCCCCGGGACGGATGGCGGCAGGACGAAGTGGCCTCGTCCTGCCGCTATGAGACAGGGCGATTACCGGGGGGACCGTTTGTCCCCCCGCGGGTGGGCGCAAAGCGCGGGCACGGGGAGGATACCGGAAGTATGCTTCGAGCGATTCCCGGTATCCTCCCAAATCGTGCGGAAGGGTCACCGTGGGGTTTTTAGTGGGTAGGTCCCGCGCCCGTTATAATGGGCGCGGGGAATCCCACACACCCCTCCCGCCTTCCCCAAAGAGGTGGGAGGGAGTCTTTCGAAGATTTTCCCCACGACAAAAGTAAGGACTGGCCTGCATTATTTAATGTATCGGCGGATATTTTGCCACATTCATTGATAATACGCTGTTTCGTATCAGTTAGTGTTATTTCACGTAAACGTGGCAAAATATCAACCGATACATTAATTAACGTAGGCCAGTCCTAACTAAGGATTAAGCAATCATCTGATATTTTGACGTACTTTTTTGTGCCATTGCAATAATAACCTTTTGGAAATCATGCATTCGTCAAAAATTGCGGCGGAGTGAGATCATCCTCTGTAATCAGTAACAAATTAAGATATCGCCTCATATTAATATTAATATAATTATACTTACTGCAGAAGCTACTGTAGCGACTTCGTCGCCACCACGCCTTCGCTAAAATCGGCATTTTAATGTAGGGGCTTGTACGAGTCAGGTCAGGGTCGATGGGCGCACATGGCGACCACCGGTACAAGCCCGGGTTTTCCCCGCGGCCAAAGACAGTCACGGGCGTTGGCCACGCGGCCGAAGTATTTTTCCCGCCGAATTTGGCGTCTGTTTTGTGCAAAAAGGATATCCGCGCTGCCCTTGTCCTGGACCGGGAATAAAACCCCGGCAGGACAGAGGACAGCAAGCATTACAAACTTGCAACCGTCGTCGCTTCCTTCGAAAGCCGCTAACACGTTACTCCGCGGACACCTTTGTGTCGCGTCGCGAGCCCTCCGTATGACCGTCAAACAACAAACGAGCCCAACTCAGAAAGAGCCTTGTAAATACCGTCATATAACAAAATTTGTTCTTTCCATACCTGCGCACCAGATGTTTAGCAGTTGTGCGTCAAGCTCGTTACAAACGTTTTTTCCAGCAATTAGGAGTCTAGTTTTATTGCACGCCACGGTCAACCTTCAAAAATACAATAGCACTTTCGCGCGACCACCGACACAGCCAAAAACAGACAATTTTGGTGACACCCACACCACCCCTTCTTGCAGGGGCTGGCCGTTCACGCCTTACAAAATCTTGTAACCAATCAGTGTTTTTCGCATATTAGTAACCGCCCAATTAAGAACTGTATAAAGAGCGACGCTCGCTCAGAAATAAGGGATTCAACAAGAATTTTGCGGAGCATCAACAAACCGACAAGTATTCATTTTTTCGAGTCACCGCATTGCATATCCATCATAAGTTTAAATACAGTCCACTTTCAAACATAAAATATTCGCACAAAGTTAAGTCGGCGTGCGACGTACGGGTTTAACTTTCCGAACAACGTCGGTGGAAAATTCGTACACGACACTTTGTACACGCGTATTTTAACAGAACATTTAAATAAATTCTTGTGCTCCCGCAGTTAAAAAGTGGCGTGGGTTGAGTCCATTATTACGATCCTCTCCTACACCGATCTCCCAGACTACAAAATACCGAGACCATTGTCGATTCTGAGGTGAGACAGAATAGGCACCCACTAGCTGCGGTCGCAGCATTCGAGCGCGTGGACGTTTTGTATACATCTTCTCCCTCCTCTCGAAGGGCAGATTTCTGTAATGTTCCTTATCTCAGAATGTAAGCGTTCGCACTACAGTACTGTGGTATCGAAAATGTAAGGAATTTGCGCGGAGTGAGAGCTATCCGTTAAGAGAAAAACAACTTGTAGGCCGAAAAGGACGGGAAAGCCCCATAGTTCAGCGGGCCCAGTGACGCGTTCGAGGTCCTCTCGAATAGGGCAGGGGTGCGAAGTGCAAGGCGAAGGCTAACATGACCAAACATGTGCGCCCGAAAGAAGCTTGACTGGTGGGGCTGGAGAAAACATTAAAAAGGGATATTTCGGCCGGAAAAAGGATTGAGTTGACGAAAGTTGCCGTAACAAGTTGTTATAAGTCGTATCAAGTTGTATTAATTTAATCGTAGAAATAGTTCGAATAGTTTCTTTTAATTAGTTCCTAGCCATAAGTAATATTAAATAAACATCTTTTTAAATAAATCCCACAGTACAGACGCTGAGAGCAGTTCGGGTTTCTTTTTCTGTGAACCGGATTGTTTCTATTCTTGTAATGTTTGAATTCCGCGTTCGTGGTTAGTGCAGTGCAATGGGCCCCCCCCCCCTTCTTGGGTCCTCGGGGTGTCCATGAGGATTTCCCCACGTACAAAAAAAAAAAAAAAAACATACACGCACATTTAAATTTATATTGTATACCAAATTATTACAATTTGTTCTAACTTTCTACCATAGGTTCTATTAGTAGTAATTGCAACTGTAAGGGACCAGTACTGTTGCAAGAAAATATATATGAGAAACAGTTATAATACATTCTTCAGAAGATGTATGTATTGCTTTTTACATTCAAGTGGTATAAACCACAAGAGTAATTTTTATTACATTGGTAATTATTTAGAAAAGGGGGGTCTCACCAATTTCGATGACATTTGAATATGTTGTAGAAATCAACATTTCGAATAACTTTTTCCTATACATATAACTACAGGTAGGCCTTACTTTCCGAGATTTCTCTTCAAAAATATCACTGCTACTACAATGAATTCTATATATACGTACGTGTATGTGGCAGCGTGTGTGTAAGCGTTTATTCGCCGATTGTTTATTGTTTCTATGTATAGATGCATCGAAGCGGCCGGCAATGGATGCGTATAACGGATGTGCTTAAAAACTCGATGTAAGTAGACGACCGCCTAGCCAAACCAAATTGAACATGCGATGGGTCAATAGCTTATCGAAAGAAAACCCTGTGTGTTAATTTTTAACCCGAAATAT